AAAAATCCTAGCATGTGGCTGTGTTCTGATCGTTGATCTGCTGGGTCTCGTAACGAACAATCACAAAATTCTGGCGGATAAACATGAGCAAGTGAAGTGAGATTACCAGCCCGCGAGCATCAGACTGGCACCCAAGGTCAATTTCTCATCCAGTGAGGCTGCGATAGGATCCAAGAAATGCTCGGCTGAACGGAATATTTTGTTCTCTTTGTGACTCCTCAGACAGTAACGTATAGACACTGTACATGTCCGTTAGGTTAACGATTTTACTTGCCTAAGACAATAAGCCATGACCCAGTTCAAATATTTGAAAAATCGCTGTGACTGACTCCTTTTGTTATTCACCCTTCACATCCTTAAGATGATAAGCATTTTGCTGATGCAGCCCAAATCCACTTCCGGTAGATACTAAGGATCTTCCCCAAGGTGAATGAAACCTTATCCACTAATCTAGCAGGTCATATTAGGTTAATGTGTGAAAGGCAAGTAAATGAGGACAAAACGGAACGATTTCACTTGTTCCTCATAATTTATGTATTGTGTGAGTGAGTAGAACTCGGCCGTGAAAGCTGTCCCATCTCAAAACAAAGCAACGAGAATCAAATCAGTCCACGGACTCGTTTACAACTAATTCAGACCAACCATCACCTCTGCAACAACTGAAAGTGGCGAACGATTAAAACAAACCTATGCTTCATTCCGGCTGCATAAATAATGCGTGCTGACTTGAAATAATTACTGTTTGTCAGAAGACACGAAAATTAATCACTAATGACAACGCTTGGAGCGGGAGATTGTAAATCGATGCAATCGTTTGCTCGCTGTTCATTCTGTGTGATCATAAGATAGAATAGTGTCAACAGAATGGTGACTTTCGCTCTTTTCCACCACTCGCGGCTAGTTTTTTTACCGCCTTCCTGGGAACCGTCGGGAATTTGAACCCAGTGACAAACGTCACTTTCAGAATAATGCGATTCGCTCAATATTTGTGATTGAAATGAAACTCACGATTCTTATTGTGATGCATGGTTTTGAATTTCGACCTAAGACCCAGAATATTACCTAAGTCAAACAGTAAACCTAATGAACCAAACTCTAACTGAATGGAGACTAATTTGATTTTCAGACTACATTATTGAGAATATCAGAGGCAAAGTTAGTACAAAACGGGACTGGGCCAAACCCTAGGACTGTTAAACATACTCTGTTTACTTAATCGATGCTCTAGATCATTTCTTCTTATGCTTCAAAATTTCTGGTTGGTGCATGATTAAGCAGGCACAGACAATCGGGAACAAAGGCTGGAAAAAACAGTGTAGCCATGAACACTACTGATGAAGCACGCGAGTAGCTTCCGGCCTGGTATCCAAGCTCTACACCGTATCTCATGGAAACTAAAGGTTACCGAGAAAATGATGGAACCACTTTTCAATGCTCATTGATTTTTGTTTGGGATTCGGAGAACTTCCACGAAAGTTCCAAAGGATGCTTGAAAAATGCTCACTATCCGAAAACTTTGTGCAAATGAGGTATTTAATTTCTGGTCTAATGGCTTATAACAGCTTGTTTCGTGTTTGCTTAGGGGCGTTTCTCCTTTCCACAGTACCGCTAATGAACTTTTCGCATAAATGCCCACATTAGTTCAGACATTCAAATTCTTCAAAAACTCAGAAGGACGATGCTTTCGTAATTGATTTTCTAGGATACGAGTTGCAAAGACTTAATTAGACTCAGCTGATCAACAGTTTTGAACTGACCGATCATCACTAATTTTAAAACCGTATATTTATTATGGCGTATGCATAAAACGGTGCATTTAAGTAGCTTTGCAAATCACCACTTGATCTTGAACACCCAACTCTTCACACTGAGAAACAAGTGAGGCATTCCTCGAACCGTCTACTATATCCAACTCCTCCGTCTCCAGAATCACACTTGTAATAATTTGACAAACCGATGGTATCATAAACTTTAAATAAGGAAGCCCCATAAACTTTTTCCTTGTACAGGCTACGAACATGTGGAATTCGATTGAGTGGTTTAGTCGAAATTCAGATGGTTTCTTAAAGGTACTGAACTGCTGAGAATTGATTAGTACCGTCTGACTGATCGACATAGGCTCATTCATTCAGCTGCAGACCAGTACACCCTGTGGTGGGATAATATTTTGTCAGTTTTCTTGCTCAACACAGCAGTAGGCACACTGTTCTTATGCATCGGTTCACTCTATGAAATTAATGTAATATGGCTGTTGTGTTGATTCGGTTCCTCCACAGAATCTTCCAGTTCAACCCGGAAAACTCAACTAACTAACTGATCGAAGAAAACGAATTGATGTGAGCGGTTGGAGGATTTTCGCTGAAGTATTCGGAAGAAACAATCCAGTCTCACAACTGGGGAAACAATCTCATCTTATGATGTGATTTGACTGTCTCTTGAAATTCAGTAGAAACATAGCCTACGTAAGTCATTTTATTATTTTTAGAAACCTATAGGCTTCAGAGTGTATGAAAGCTACAGCATCTGTAGTATTTTTTGTCACATTGTGGATGAAACTTGTAGTGGCGAGATCTTGTTTGAACGAAAGCTGGCAATTCCATATTAGAAGAGTTGACAAATTGACACTGACATCCTGCAACAGACGGTTGACTTATTCCAGAGGCCTGCTGTCCTCAAAAAAGATCAACACTATTTGCCTCGTTTTTTAAGATTTCCCCAACCTCTTCCGTACACCACTTCAAACAGCACATGAAATTCACTCAGAGAAACAGAATGGTTTCAGATGAATTTCTCCCCGGTCGACCTTCATACTGGAAAGGGCAAGCAAAAATACCAGGTTGGGGTGTTGGTTTGAAAGCAGTTTTCGCCATACCCAAAATCCAAATTGGTATTAATGGTACAGCAAATATGGGCCGGCTAATTTATTTCCAGAACGTGCCCCTTTCTTCCGGCCATTTGGACACTGTCCTAGACTGCAGTTCTTGTGACATCTTGGAGATGCACCACTCGGAAATTCCTAGAATTCGTCAGTCACCTCCGAAACTTCACAGGTTTATTGCCTTGTGTTGAGCAAACAGATATTTAGAAAGCTGTGTACATAACTAAGTTCAGGATATGAAGCCTGTCAAAGGTGAATGATCACGTGAAAATGCTCATACGCCCCTGCTCCAGTGTAGAGATACGTCAGCTTTTTTCTTTAACCTATTTCTGTCACTCATTACTATAAAAATACAGACCAAATAAATGAGATTTCCTCTAGTCGAAGACGTCTCAATTTGATTACCCATACAAAGAGGCTTATGGATTTACAGAAAAACAACTGCCCTTTTGCTACTTATGGATGGGTTCGATGAAGTTTATGAAGCGATATTTTTCAGGGTGGTCTTAAAACGTTTAGGACTCGTCGATATTTAGATGTACAAAGTGCAAAAATATTCAGCTGCGCACCACAAATTTTGTCCATAAATGGCGCCACTATGGGACGTTATATTCAGAGGGATGCAACTTTTTTTTATCTGTACATAGAACACTGAAAACCATCAGGTGGGCTTCCTCCTTCTCTATGAAACATAGGTTGCCCACTCTCCCCATCTTTCAATTTTTATATTGAAATATTCCAAGTTTTGTAGACAGACCAACGCAACTCACATACTTAGCCGTTTTTCCTTGTGAATTGTTTACATTATGTTGTGAGAGACCCGGTTATCTCTCCTCAAAATTAGCGCGTGGATCCCCAGGGCATTCGACACCTGCGTCATCCCAGAGTTCAAATTGCTGTGTAAAATTTGAGTGACTAAGTTAGGAATAAACGCGCTTCGAGTGATTCGAGTTGATAGTCGTTATACAACAAAAGTAAAAGCAATCTGATCCGGAAGGTTTCTATTCAGGTGTTATTTTAGGAACACCATAGCCGAGTTACCGCTATATATGTAGCTTTGGGTCTATCCTTTTTCATAATTACTTCCCCTCGAAGTTTGCTCGCAGTTCATCACGAGGTAATATACAAGAGAATTGTTGACAAAATGATGGCTTTTGTAATAAGAACTGAAAAAAATGAGTGTTTCAGAAGTTAATGCTTGAAAATAACGAATCTAGCCTTAAATTGTCTGACTTTTATCTCTCGTGAAAAAAATATCTGAAGAGAGTTCAGTCGGTGTCAGGAAGTTTGTTGGATCACTGATGCTCAAAACAGTGTTGGTGATGGTCAATAGCATGCATCAGCGGCGCATAATTTGTACTTTTGTGCGGACTCACTTAGCGCCTATTCTTTTGACAAGAAGTTTTGGGATGGCAGTGACGGACTCAGTGTTTTCTGTTCGGATAAATCTCGCTCCATTCCCTGTACCACGCCTTAATGAGGTTCTTACAATGAACCCGGATAAATCTCAAAGTGTCTCAGCAACAGTCCAATGATGGTTTACTGGGAAGCTACGATGTCTTGAAGATGTGTAAGCACTGCTGCGGACAAGTTGAGTTTTCATCTCTAGATTTCCGTTGGGGCACTTTGGATTCTTTATGAAATTACATTGCGTACTTCTATACACCTCACGAACAATACCAGGTAATATTAAATTGGAAATGTAGGTATTAACGAAGCGACTGAACTTTTGATTAACGAAATTCGTGAAATTATGGCTTGGATCCAGTTGATTAGAAGCGCTGAAACATAGGCTTGAAATTTTTTGCAATTTTTTTTACTGTACATCTTCTCTGCAACATCTGAACTTTTGATTAACGAAATTCGTGAAATTATGGCTTGGATCCAGTTGATTAGAAGCGCTGAAACATAGGCTTGAAATTTTGTGCAATTTTTTTTACTGTACATCTTCGTCTGCAACATCCTTAGGGCCCCCATTTGTGCGCAGCAAAAGTGTAAGTATGGCTGCTTTCTCCAACGTATACCCTACGCTACAGGCTGGTTAGGCTACTGGCACCAACCAGTAGTGTGTGATAAAAATGATTTGCAATCGACTGAAGGGCAACCATAAGCTTCCATACCTGTTCAAGAATAAAGGCCAAATGTTCAGACTTCACGGAAAAAACATGAAGTTATTCAAGCTTCAGAAATGAGGTACACCAATTTCATATCTCCACACAAAGGAAAGAAAAGTGAAAATGGTTGTGGATGTATATGTTCCCGATAATGAACTAGTGGCTTCTCAACTAAATAACTAAAAGCGGGTTAAAAACCGTCCTCACGGACTCACTCCAAGAACACCGTCCAAGATCTCAGTGATTTCAACTTTAGGCTTGTTCATTTCAGTACGCTTGCGATGGATGATGTAGTTGCGGCCACCATTGTTATCCCATGCAGATCCACCGCCGGATGGTGTCAACCACCGATAGTGAATAGCAAATTCAAACTCCTCAGAGGAATCCGGGAGCGAGAAACGAAATGCAAAGGTATCAAGTTTGCTTTTAACGGATGAAGATGTATCATGCGAGGTGACATATTTGGCTGGTTGGTCAACATACGTCAACCACCTGTCACAAGTGGCCCGTACAGTTACGGATTTCTCAAAGGTGTAGTTGTGAACACGTATAACACCAAAAACGGCGTCTGGTTCGATGAGCACTGGTTTTCCAATATTGTTTTTTGCACGCAAATAGGTTCCAGGTTGTAAAATAATGCCAGATAAAAACACGTCGTTTGAAAACGGGACATTGTCAAGCATATCTGCAGGGAGACTCCATCGAGCCAACCGTTCTGTGACGAATTCTGGTCCGCGCCATACACTTGTGTAGCAAGAATTCTCCGTCACCGTGGATTTGAAGGTTTTACTCTGTTGTCCTGCGTGGGAACTACGATCCACTACGGAGTTGACCGGCCTACTTGTTGGAGAAATCCTTCGCGATGCGTCACCCAAAGGTTGGATTGGCGCTGTGGACAAACTGACACCTATAGATATGCAGAGAAAATAACGCTTTGATGTAAATTACTAATCTGTTCCATTTATCTGTAACGGAAACGAAACACTTGACAATCGGCGAGCATGTTCAGCACCAAAACCTGCTTGGTTAGCCCATGTATTGCGCACACCGAACCATCGGGTTCCTGTGCCCATTTTAAAGGCGGAAGCAAAGGAGTACCCAACTTTGACCTAACAGAGGGGCATGAAAGAGTTTACGAAAAGTCTGGGTTCTGTCGTTGTGACACACCTTCCCAATGTACCCGGTTGGATAAGCCGCAGCATATAGCTGGTACTCGATATCAATGGAGTTCTTGTTGTCAATTTTTATCCAAGAACATTCGAGTGAGCGTCTGTAGGTGAAGGCACACAGAATGACCGTCGTAGGATAGAATAGAGTGGTTTCCCCGTCCGATTTTATTCTCTTCTTCAAGTATATCTTGGTTGCACGGTAGTGAAGCATCAGTGTTGGACAATGATATCATGCTGCTGATGATGACTAACAATGTATTCACACAAGAAGAAAAGAATAAGTTTCATATTTGCCTATACTTGAGTAGATTACTGGGAGAACTTTCGCGATTACCATAAAGTCCAATGAATCTGGAAACGCACAAAAAATGGCAATGCAAGAAGACAATCTCCGTCGGAGCTGTCATAACCGGTGCTTTTTCGTGAAATTAAATGTACTTCGATGTTTTTTTAATTAATGCGAGGGGTGAATCACACGTACAGCCATACATCCCGTGAGAGTCGCAAGACGCCAAGAGTAAATAAACTGAATTTCAGAGGAAAACTGCCACCTCCCAGTCCTCATTTATCTGAATACTACTTAAATACCTGATTTCCAAACAGTTTTTTGCTGTTCACCCAAATAGTTTACCTTGTGATTTACGCAACGACACAAAATCTGCCTCATTTTTCTGAATACCTTTTATCATACTGTTTAAAAATATCCTACCTTTTATGTAGAATGAGCTAGATGCATGAGATATACCGCAGCTGGGCAACCCAATAGAAGATTATTTCTCTGGTACGATTGAGTGACAACCTTTGAACCTTATCAACTTATTCATCATCCGTTTCAAAATGCGAAAAAAAGTTGTACAAGAGTCATAGCTGCCAGTTTCTTTCGCCGATGATCTGGGGAGATAAGGATGGACAGCTGTTCATTAGGCACGGTCTGTAATATCATTGACGTGTGAATCAAGGAGTGACGGTAGAATTTTCATAGGACATATGGGAGAAGGAAGCTATGCCCTGAAACTACAGTTTGGATGCTTGTACGACTTTAGGCGCGTTATTTGGACAGGTGTGCCAATCAGCAGTTGTTTCTATTTTCTGATTTATTTTACCAATAAATAACCGAAAATAATCTATCTGTGCACTCCGCAATTTGAACTATGTTCATCATATTCACCCATAAAACCAGGTGGATTGAATAGAACGGTGATATCCACAGAGCACTCCTGAAAAGGACGCCATCGGAAACGTACACGAGATCCGATGAAAGGTTCTGCAAGTAATAAATTGCTCAATAGCTAATTTTATAAGGGTGCGTTTCATACAGACACGATACACCACTCATAAGGTTTCGGAACTCTCTTAAAAAGCACCCTTATAAGTAGTATGTTACGTCTATAAAATGTATTGCGATACGGCGTATCGCACGAACTCAAACTTGACGCAGCCTGGCATAGCACATTCAATTGAATAGCAACATCACAAACAAGAGATTCAGTTGGGTCTCCCGTGAGAACCGAATTGGTCACATATATGTGTAGTTCGCTAAGGATATATTTCCTATGCCAAAAATTCTGGTCTATGCTCAACTTAAGTAACATTTCTTTTCAAGTTGTGGAACTTCCTGTCCTCTATACCAAGCGACTCATTGAATGTCTGGCTGGCCAGTCTTCAGCGTTAGAAACGGTTGGTGCTTAAGCGGTAGTATTCAGTGCTGGAAACCGTCTGGAAATGAACTGTGAATGCCTGTCATCCCACTCCTCAGTCACGGTTACACTACACCAAAAGGGTCTCAAAATAAAAGAAAGTAACTCTCTTACAAGTCAAGTCATCCCAGTTGCGGTAAAGTATGCTCCCACCTCAACAGCATTGCATAGATTAGTGTCAACAAGCCTGATCAACTGCTTGGGCAATGTTTTTACATAACACGCTAATTAGGCTAATTTATTTCGTTTTCATAAAATAATTATTGTGAGGATGCTGAACAGATACCTTTGCCACGATTCCCCGAAACCATAAGGTTGCTGACCTTTGTAAAAACAAAAATGGGGTAGAGTCGTAAACGGGAGAGCCAGTCATAACCTTACACATAAAACAGTTTCCGATCACTGCTGGGCTTCTTGTGAAGCCAGCTTCTGGGAAGAACTTTGATACAAATAAGGAGTAATAAGCAAACAAGATGGTCTAAAGGTCGCACTCACTTTGACTACGCTCAGAATGATCGTATTCCCTGACCACTGCCTAAGTCTGATATTCGAAGAAGTGATGAAGCTGACAAGGACTATTGCTTCAGCAAGAGCGGCAGCTGCTATCAATCGTAGACGGTAGACTGTAAACTGGTTTCGGTGCTTTTGAAAGAAAAACTGGGAGACGTAGACTAAACGTTAGCCAACTCATTTGTATGAAAGGTTTTATTTATAGTTAGCACAGTTAAAATAATGATGACTCACTTTGGTGTGCACCGGTTATTGTGACACCAGGCTGTTCTGTGACGCCTAAAAGCCAATTCGGTGACTTGCTGTGAGCAAGCAAGGTCGATCGTGCAGTATTTCGAGTATGACTCGCTCTACGAAGTGTAGATGAGATAGAGTTGGGCAAAACGGAAGGCTGTGAGTTCGATATTTCTTTCGCACTTTTAGTGCAAGCCTGTGCTGAAACTCCCGGGATTCGCTTTGTTCCTGGTCCGCAATAAACGAAAGCTGGACGAAAGGGTATTGATCTTGACATACCGTATTGTCGATCTGGCCAGGTGGTTGGGCTTCTTGCGGCTGATAGGTGAGAATAACGTGTTGGACTTTTTTCACGTTGCTTCTCTGTGAACACTTCGCTGTCCCCTGGTTCAAAAGAAGTTACTCTCTGATAGTTTTCAGCTGATGGTACTGTGCTACCGATATTGGACGCAGGGTCATCTTCCTTTGGAGTTTCAGGAGTGGTTGGAGGTACTTCGCAAGATGACTGAGTACTGGCCGACATGTTTGGAGACTTTGGGTTGCTGTCACCTGACGTTTTGGACAGTGGTTCATCAAGTACTTTTTTATGTTCCGGTTCAACAATGCCATTCTCACCACTTTCATCGAGCATTCCGAAAGGCGAAAATCACTTCACTTGGTGACCAAATAATCTGCGCAATCCAGGAGTCAGTCTTCAGCGGTTATTCAAATGTCACGAAGCTATTGATTTCTTCCCTCAGTCGATCAATACAAACGAAATGCCATACTGGCCAAGGGGTGCTGTAGACCTATAGTCTGAACTGAATTTTATGGCGATAAGCCTATATATTTTTAGAAAGCTTTCCGGATACTTCAGAGTAGCTATTTCCTATAGTCACATCTTATGTAGATAATTCTAGTCAGCGATGAATTATACCGCCGTATGAACAAGGTGACAATCGCGTGAGGAAAGGGGTTCTGTGTTGTTTCGTTGCTTTCGGATGAGACATGAGCTTCATCACTCAGTCAATTGGTCAGTATCTGTCATTGCCGGCTTTGATCACAAAAACGAGATGTAAAAGAACTGTTCTATATCTGTGTAATCATGCACACCACCGATGAAAGTGAGTAGTACGTGTAAATTATTGAAACATTCCACAGTATCAGATCAGTACATAAACGTATGCAATGGTCAGGTGAGCGTGCAAGGTACCGAGGGTTGTCCAATACTGGATATCGCTTTTGTGCTTCTACCTCCTTTCCAAATCTCTTTCGCAACTATTTATTCGGTTTACAAATGTGAGGTGATAGACCACGCTGAGCGAAGGGGCAATCGGTCCGTTATTCACAGAACATACTGTGTCGTGGGATGCCTCCATCTAGTGCACTCTGAGGGAGTATCTGGATGGTAAAATGTTTGTCCGCTGTGGTGACCAGATACGGTGAAGTGAATAAGTACATTCACATATCAGCTGCGATATTTAGGATAATCATAATCCATACAGGGGTGTATGCAAATCTCGTTGTTGGGTATAGGCCGCGACTGATCCGAGGCATTCGCAGCTGCCTAATGGAGTTGAGAAGGGTTACCAACAGGCCGCTGATGACTGCTGTTCCGTCAACATAAATTGGTGAATCCGTTCATCTGCAACACGCTTCCGGCGCCTAGCTGACATGCCGCCCGGAGGAAGCACGAGGGCTGGGATAATGCCAGGTCGCCCAAGCCTAGACATGGAAAGTTTAGAGTCAGTGGTCGGATGCGAACCATGGACCTCCCGGTCCGTGGTTAACTGTTTATAGGTGAATTTTTATGGACGATGGAAATATGGTCTGCTAATAGGAGTTAATGCGTTCATCCAGGTAGACAGTCCGATATGGACGGTGAGAATTCACCACTGCAACACGGTCCACAAAACTGTTGATTTTTAAGCCTCAAATAAACCAGTATTTTCAAATGCGTCTCACAGTGGAACAAATATATCGCATACACTAGCTTGTGCGGCTGTCATCAGAAATGATTTAGAAAGTATTCAAAATCAGCGTTGGAAGATGAGAAAACTGTACCGTTAATTGATTAAGACGATTTTAAGCGACAAGGTTCCTACATTTTTTTTATTCTCAAGTCCTAGCATGTCAATGTACGATTGCTCGATTAAGGGACGTGGATCCCTCTAAAATAGCCTTTTTCCTTAACTTTACGTCCTATCAAGAATGTTCATCATCAATAATAGCGACTAAAAGGCCACAAAGGTGAAGTCTCACCCCATACCGTAGAGGTGCAGTTCAGATACGTTCACGAGGCGTCCTTGTCGAAGTTAATCGTCAGAAATAACTGGTCGGCCTACCAGAGAATACCGACCAAAAAAGAAGTGGTACCTCCAGGAGATATTTGAAGGAACGCTGTCCCGGTGTCACGTCAGTCTTGGCATGACGTAAAGATAGGTGTTGCCTTCGAGAATAAACGTATTTGAAATAACCCAGGTGATGCTCTTCAGTGGGTGAACATCCTACAGAATGTGTACAGAAGGGGACCGCTGAGTAGGTACGCGGTTTTCTACCGTACTTTCAAGTGCACGACTCCTTAAAACACTGTGAATGACTCGTAGGTTGATGAAAAAATTTCCCGTGAGAAAGATTCGAAAAATTCGCTATCCTGTTCAACGATAAACCAAAGTATGGTAGAATAAAAACGACTTTCATTATGCAAACTGACATTGGTACAAAAATAGGTAGGGTGTTCTGGAGAAGTTGTAGAGTGCTTGAATGTAACGGATGCAAACAGCTCAGATCAAAATCACATTCCCGCTTTCCACGTGTTGTTTGATTGCACTATACGGAAGCAAATGTTGCTCTCCAGGTTCCAAGGTGAGCGACACGGTTCTGTAAATGGTAATAGAGTAGTGAAATACAGTCACAACATAACTATAGATATCACCCAATAGCATACTATTAATCAACCTCAAGGTAGCGCCCCACATCATACCCTACGCCAATGTTGTCTTGTTTGAAATGATGAGTTTCCTTTGACGATACCTACGTTCCGATTTTTGGGTGAATATGTGGGTGTATGAACAAAAGCCAAAAACGGTATGTGAATCTACACCACACGTATTTATGGTTTCAAATACGGCCTTAATCAATTTACATGTACCAGATTAACCCCCCGGTGATACAAAATACCTCCACGGAACAAATAAGTCATTTATTGAAAAGGGGCATTGCATAGTTGGAACGCACTCCACATACGGAAACTGCTATTTCGGCTGTTTGCGTATGCTCTACTAGTAAGCGCGTTGAGTGCAACCGCATTGTAGAAATTGCTAATCACCCGAAGGAAACAACAAATGATAGAGAGGCAAATTCTCACGAAGAAAGTTTCTGATGGAAAAAGGGATGTATTCGGAGAGCAGGAAAAGAAAGTGAAATCGAGTAAGAGCCATTGAGTCTTTGATCAAAACTGTCTGTCATCAGTAATGTTGTTTCACGGACTTGGACTGACAATAGAAACCTGTTGCACTGAAAGTTAGGAAAACGAAGTGGACTCGTATACAGTCGAACACGCATCCAACCTGACCTCAGTGGGAGCCCTAATATCAAAGCGCAACTTACCGCGACTGACTATCACCAACGGATGGCCCGTCAACCACCACAGAACTGACCCGAGAAAGCGCACGACAGAACACATAACTGTGTGGGCTCGGATGAAAGGCTGAGTAAGGGGTATAGGAAAGAGGGTGAAGAATGTGGTTGGAGGTGTCATGCACTGGTACAATGAAGTTACACAAACTATGGATTCATAGGCTAAATTTGGTCGCAGCTGTTTCTAATCTTCTACGTAGATGCTGGCACGAGTCCATTTACAGCCATTTACAGTCCATTTACCCAACTACTCACAAGGGACTGTCCCATAGTTCTGTTGTCAAAAGGAGTCTCTTATACTGTTATACTACCTGGCATAAACGCAAGAGAAATTTAAAACGATAAACGGCCCAAAAGAGTAGTATTTGAAACAACCGTAGCATACACACTCATAGGATCGACTCTTCCTCAACTGAAATTGTCACTCATCGTACGTGTACACTCCCATTGGATCTGCATCCCGGGTGATTTTCATCCGTTTGCGCCTCCTTGAGTGCTATCTACTGGGTGAATTCCCCCTACCAATCTCTGTCTGCGAAGCTAGTGTTTACGCACAAGTCATGGGTAGGACAAACTTCAGCCGGCGCACCTTGACTTGTGCAAGTAGTGAACTTAAAGGATGGTAATGGTTCACAGTTGTGAACAAGGGAGATGAACGAGATCACTTCTTCTTCCGTGCTCCCAGAAAACTATCGAAATAAAGTAAAGACAGGTATGAACAAACATCGTTAGTCTGCTTGTATATCCCAGGCTTCACGTCCACTCAGGATCAAGGGTGTGTAGGAGAAGTGTGCAGAGAGTCCTTTTAGAGAGACTGACGTTACAGAAAAATCACGAACCGCAGACCATAACGAAATATACGTCAGCCTTCTAAATTTGGTTTCTCTTATTGACCAGTGGTATTGTAGCACCCTTCTGTGTGCTACAAATTTCCATATTTACTATAAGACGTCACTATACAATGTGAGAACAAACGTAAAAAATTACCCAGCTGAGAAATCCAGAGCAGAGCCTATCTAGGTCATTTTGTGTACCAAGAGCAGTAAACTGTGCACACATGTAGATCTTGTACAGAATCGCCTTCATGCTTATGTTCTTCACATCTCTCAGGACGTTAGTCAGAGGGGGGCGAAACAAAAAAGGTAATGTCAGACAAACCAATTGTATCGTGCTGCTGAGCGGCAGCCAACACTCACTATACAATTAGTTACATTCATATACGGAGGCTAGTATCACATTCAGAAATTTCTCCAATTAGAGTCCCTATTTTCATAAACGGAACCAATGTTTAAAACCCTATAATTGATAGAATTCTTTCCCATCAGGGACTTCAGCTCAAGGAACAATGGACGTCCATCATACTAGAAAAGCACCGGAAGAAATTCATTCGGTTTATCGGCTCTATCACAAGATCATTCATTTATTCCGAACACCTTTCCTGAGTAACGGTGGAAGATTCAGTTTGGAAGAGTAAATTATATTGGTGTCCCTGATCTAATAGTGTAGTAAAGTTTCTCAGGAATTTTAAACGGGGAGTGACCTCCTAAAGGATACTACGGAGAAAACGAGAGGGCACCGATAACTAGCGTACGGTTCATACACAAATGGTCTATGCGCTACTCCTTAAGGGATCGATGGATCCTTATCGTAAATAGGGAAACTCCTGCGTTGACAGTGACTGTGTAGCGTGATTCCCACTGAGTGCACATATCGGACAGCAAAAAGGCATCACCCACCAAAGGTTTTATTTCGGACAGAATGGTCTAAATAGTCCGTGGTATCGATCTGGATGAGGATGAATATGCTCACTCCAACAGTTCAACAGAAGCATCACCTCCATAGTTAATACGACAATGATGGTCATAGCATCCGGAATGCTATAAAAGGTTTTATTTCGGACAGAATGGTCTAAAATAGTCCATGATATCGATCTGGATCAGGATGAATATGCCCACTCCAACAGTTAAACAAAAGCACCACTAAAATCCGAACGTATTTCGCGCCTCCATGATTAATACGACAATGATGGTCATGGCATCCGGAATGCTATAGGTCGCGTACAGAAGTGATAGAGTAGCAAGCAAAATCTGTGTTAAGACTCGTTCCACATTCACTGGGTTATTGTAAAGAAA